GGACCAGCAACGGGATCGCAACCCTCGGCGTTGCTCCCGCGCCTCGCTCAGCCAGTGAGCGGGAACCAGTCTGTATGTGGGATCTGAACCCTCAGCGGAAGCCCCGCCACACTCCCAAGTGGCGCACTGTAGCAGTGCGCCACCGGGCCGGCCCAAAGATAAACTTTTTAATGCATATGAGAACCTTATATTTTTCTGAGAGAGCATTTCCCCCAATACTGATGCCTTTGTAGCATCCTGGATCACCATTAAGCATTCAGAAAAAAACCCAAAGTATTTTAAGTATTATTATATATATATGTAACACAATATTTATATATATTTAACATTAAAACAAGGCTCCTGAAATACCTACCCTTCTTTCTAAAATACTCAATTAAAACTGTTTCCTATTTATCCCTAGGATTTAAATATTCTGTTGATAAATTCACATAGAAATATAAATCCAAGTACATAAGTTAACATATCTTGAAACTAAGATACATTGTAAAAGACACACCTCAAACCAGATAATGCCTACATTCAGGTAAAAATAAGGTAAATAGAAGGGCATAAGATAAGAAGATAGGGAAAAGAAAGTTCTTTATTTATTTATTTATTTGTATTTATTCCAAAAAGGTGCAATTAAAGGATTCAATTTGTAAAAAAATCAAGCCAGCAAATATTTTTAAAAAGATATATATAGCTGAAGATCCAGTTTCATTAACTTTGTGGCAAATTAATGGTTTACAAACATCAGTAGACATACCTGGCAGAGCAGTTATGAAATCCCTCTGCAACATAGGTTTAAGATACGAGTTTATGTGTCCATGTTGGTAATGACACATTTGGGATATAAGATGTTCCACAAATTCCACTTGATCGGACTCTGACCACTGCTCAAAATATTTGACACACAGTTCCTTTTCCTTCTCATAGCTTGCTGAGAGTTTCCGTTGCTTGGGCACAATCATACTGGAAGTGCCATTAGCAAGTTTTGTCTGCAGAAGGGAGGGATTTAAAAAAAACATAGCAATAAGTACTGAAAATGAGGGAAATACACATAATCTTCTGGCCTGGCATGCTATGTTACATGATTGAGCCCATTATTATTCTATTAGTAATTGGGCATTTGTGAACAGCAACTACATGGAAAGCCACAGAAATACTACAGTAAGTTGGTAAATCAGGTGTATTGTCAGAAGACTAAGCATCCATTTCCAAAAGTTCTTAGGAAGACATTCTTATTATCCAGAGATATACTGATGAAATCCGAAAGCAGAAAGAAAGTTAAAGTTATTATTACTAGCGAGCAAAAAGATAATTTGATTTTTCTTGTATACACCAGTTAATGGACATTTACATAATTATTTGTCCACAACTTGGTTTTCAATAGTCAAAAGAAGTAAGAAGTTCTCCATGCAAAGAAAGGACAATGAATATTCTGACACTCTGTGGTACCTTTGGAAATAAAGCTTAAATAACACTCATACGCTCAATCTACCCTTTTCCTTCCAAAAACTCCCATCTCCACAGGCAGCAAAATTGTATGTCAGAAAGTCTTTATTAATTGATTCATTCAGCAAGTACTTACTGAGCATCTACAATATGCCAAACACTGTCCTTGGTGCTAGGAATACAGCAATAAACAAAATAACCTTGTGTCTATCATCATAAACATATATTCTAGCATGGGAGACACATTAAAAACATAAGCAATAAATAGATAATATAATGTAGATACTGCTGTGAAGAAAAACAAAGTAAGACAAAGAGAACAAAAAAAAGTGTATGTTATTGTGTAGGCAATATTCTAGGATGGTCCCCCAAGATTCTTGACTCCTGGTATACACATACCTTCTCTCTCAGTTATTCAAACAAACACTAATGTAAGTACTGCTGTGATTAAAATAAGAGCCCAAATAGGTTGACCTTAAGGTAGGGAGATTATGCAGATGGGACTGACCTAATCACAAGAGGCCTTTAAAAACAGAGTTTCTCAGACTGGTTGCAGATGAGGAAGGGAGCCACACGGCAAGGAATGTGGGCATCCTCTAGGAGCTGAGAGTGGATCCTAGCCGATAGCCAGGGAGGAAACGGGGACCGCAGTACTACAATGGCAAGGAACTGAATTTTGCCAACATAAAGAATGAGCTGAGAAGAGGATTTTCTAACTTCCAGATGAGAACCCAGCTCAGCCAACATCTTGATTGATTTTAGCTCTGTGATATCCTGAGCAGAGAACCCAGCCACTCTGTGCCAGACTTCTGACCTACAGAGCTATAAGCTAATAAATGAGTGTTGTTTTAACTTGCCAAGTTTGTAGTGATTTGTTATGCAGAAATTAGAAAAAAACCGATATAGTTACTTAAGTCTACATGGTAAGAGAATTTCCCTAAAGAGCTGACACTTAATTGAGACACAAAAGAGATGAGGGAACTAGACATTTTTTTTTTTCTCCTTTTTGTCTTTTTTCGTGACCGGCAATGGATCGCAACCCTCAGTGTCACGCCCGTACCGGACTGGGACTGGCAATGGGATCGCAACCCTTGGTGTTGCGCCCGCACCTCGCTCAGCCAGTGAGCCGCCAGTCTGTATGTGGGATCCGAACCCTCGGCGGGAGCACCGCTGCGTTCCCATGCGGCGCACTGTAGCAGTGCGCCACCAGGCCGGCCCGGGAACTAGACATTTTGATACATGAGGGAAGAATGTTCTAGGCAGTGGGAAGTTTGAGACCAAAGGTCTTGGGTGTTAGTCTGTCTGGCGTGTTCAAGAAACAAGAACACCTGGTGTGGATGGAACCGAGTGAACTAAGAAGGAGAAATAAGGTTGGAGAAGTAGTTTGAGCCAAATCATTCAGATCATTTAGGTAGTGATAACTAATCTCCAAAGACAGCCCCAAACAATTCTAGCCTTCCCTCTACATGAATGCTGTTCCTCCCACCAGGAAGTGGAATTTATGTCCTATCCTTTGAATCTGGGCTTTGACTAACAATGTGGAGAAAGTTACACAAAGTCCTATCCTTTGAATCTGGGACGGCTAAGCCCTGGCAACTTTTGCTCACTCCTCCTTAGAGCCTTGAAGATGAGAAGCTATGTAGGGAGAGAGGCCATATGGAGAAGCACAAGCAGCATGAGATTGACATGATCTGACACCTCTTAAAAGGATCACTGCTGTGTGGAGAACAGACTATAGCAGATATGAATGGAAATAAGAAGGCCACCTAAGAGACTACCTCAACAATCTTTTGGACTAGAGTGGTAGCTATAGAGGTGGTAAGAAATAATTGGGGTTCAGCATATATTTTGAAGGCAGGTCCAATTGATTTGCTGAGAGACTGAATATGGATATGAGAAAAAAAGAGGAGACAAGGATAATACCCAAGTTTGAAGCTGGGGAACACTAGGAGAAGGTTCAGAAATAAACTTTTGCTGCTCTGAAGAGAGTATGATTTTCCTTAGAAAATAACCACAAATTGGTACAACTGGGTACCTTTCAAAGTCAGTTGATGAATTTTCGGCATATTTGTCTGAGGCAACCCCAATTTGGCAGGGAGACCGGTCTTACTATAGAGTATCCCTGACTAGACACGCTGAATATGGAACATGCCGTAAAACTGTACCAAATTTGGATAGCCCACTTCTGCTATTTAAGGCCGACTTGACTTATTTTCTAAATGTTACATCTATATGCAGGCCCCTTTACAACTGGTTTCTGACACATAGCTGAAAGTATATTTTCAAGAATGATATTAAGCCATTCTCTTTACACAGAAAGAGCTGACACCTGTAAACAGCAAGTCCTGGTGTAATGCTGGAAGTTTTCTAGCATAAATGCCACTGTTGTCTATGATATAGACTAAAAATTATTAATAAGAACCTTGTTGGACACAGGCCTTGGGGGACTTCAGAACTGCTTTTTGTGCAGGTTATTTGTTTGCATCTCAGAAAAGGAAAACTCATGAAATGTGGAGTAGGATTTAGAGAGCTAACAAATAGGTGGGTTTACAAACTTGACCAAATGCCACTTCTCATCCCAACAACCAAAACCTCCCAGTCCATCATCTTTTACATATTTGCCCTTTGTCTTTTTTGTTTGTTTGTTTGTGTCAGCTGGCCAGTATGGGATCTGAACTCTAAACTACTGAGCAACTGGCAAGCCCTGCCCTTTGTCTTTTAAAAGGTGGAAGTGAACCTGAGTTGGGTGCTATGAGAATACTGTTTTCTGGTTAAAGACCAGAAATGCCAGCAACAGAAAAGAAAAATCAGCAAGTTAATGAAATGACTCTACTTATACTTTAAATAAACCAGGTATTTCTATAATTATGGGGAGTCATGCTTTGATCAGTGGCTGTCAGACTGTTAACAGATAAAACTGCCTAAGGATTTAACAAGTTTGGTTATCCTGTTACAGGAGCTAAAATTCAGTCAAGACTTTCTTATGCTTTCAATGATAAAATTATAAATGGGACTTAAAACTTTTGGCTGTTAGAAATGAAGTATAAACAGAGCTTTCATGTATTTACTAACTGTTCTGGGCTATTCTAGCTGGTACTGCATTTTAGTCATCACCCCTCAAAACAAGAGTACTTCCTTGTGAGGTAGAAAGACACATACCCGAGGTCCTATTACTTCAAATGGGTTACTCTTAACCACTACCTCATATTACATTGTTTTAAAAGCTTTGGCCTTGAAGAAAACAACCTGGTTACAAATTCTAGCTCCTCAATTTATCAGCTGTGTGACGTGGAATAAATACCTTAATCTTTCTGAGTCTCTATTTCCCTCATCTATAAAATGCGGATAACAACAGAATCTATTTCACTGGGTTTTTGTGAGGATCAAATAAAAAACCTATGAAAAGCATTCTTAGCACACCACTTAGCACACAGTGGAGTACTCAATAAATCAACACTCTTAATGAATTTATGATACTGTTGGAATTGGGTTTTCCCCTCTTTTTGAACATATATCCTTCTTTCTCATTATGTAATATATAATTCTCCATTTCCATTTTCATTTAAGTATAATACACTCATGCACCACAGAACAACATTTTGGTCAATGCTGGACCACATATACAACAGAGGTCCTGTAAGATTTTAATGGAGTTGAAAAATTCCTTTCACCTAGTGATATTGTAGCTGTCATAACATTGTAGTGCAATTGCTATTTTTTAATAAGTTTAGTGTAGCCTAAGTGTACAGCATTATAAAGCCAGAGGGGTGTACAGTAATGTCCTAGGCCTTCACATTCACTCACCACTCACTCACTGACTCACCCAGAGCAACTCCCAGTCTTGCAAGCTCCATTCATAGTAAGTGCCCTATACAGGTGTAACATTTTTTATCTTTTATACCATTTTTACTTTACCTTTTCTATGTTCTGATATGTTTAGATACACAAATGCTTACCATTGTGCTACAACTGCCTACAGTATTCAGTACAGTAACATGCTCTACAAGTTTGTAGTATAGGAGCCATAGGCTAAACCATATAGACTAGATGTGTAGTAGGCTATACCATCTAGGTTTGTGTGAGTACGTTCCATGATGTTTGCACAATGATGAAATCATCTAACGACATTTCTGAGAACATATCCCTATCAATAAGTGACAAACGAGTATATACATAAAAGTGCATGATCTTAAGTGTACAGCTCGTTGAATTTTCACATGGTGAGCACACCTATGTAACCAGCACTCAGTCAAGAAAAAGACCATTATGAGCCTCATAAGCTCCCTTTTCAGGTCATCAGCCACCTTAAAAGTAATCACTATATTCGTTTCATTTAATATATATATATATATATTTTTGAAAACCATCTGCATATACAATTTTCAGTGGCATAAAAAACATATAATACTTAGGAATATGTTTGACAAAATATATGTAACATCTGTATACTGAAAAATTAAAAGACTGCTGAGGGAAATTCACAAAAAGATTTAAATATATGGAGAAATACAGTGTTCATACACTGGACTCAATATTAAGATGT